CTCATATATGTCAACACAGTTCAATGGACTATGTATGTTTTATATATTGCTTCTGTAGCCCCTAATTATATGCCATTATGTTAAGAGGTCTTTGGTAATCTAATGATTACTAACCAGTTACGACGCTAAACCTAGAGGGGCAGGTTTGGGTCGTGACAGAGTGGTATCAGAGCACATGATTATACCACACACACGAGTCCATATAAGCTATAACGTGTCCTAGTAAGCATTAGAGGCATCTTATCTGCATGTGTGAGTGTGTATATTAATGTTTGTTAATGTGGAAACTGAATCTGTCTAACCATGAATACATGAAATAGAAATGAATGGACCGTAATTGAATGTTAAACATAGTGAAAAAAATTATTGACCTATGACTATTATTGCCTTGTTTACTTGTAGTAACATGGAGAATGCAAGGGAAAATGATACAAGTGAGTATTCTGAGGCTCGAATGAACATAATGGAATAGATGCTTATAGCATTGACCGAAGCAATGACATAACAACAGAGACAACAACCTTTGCCTCATCCGTCTCTGCCGGTACAAGTTGAACCCGACAATAACGACATCATCAACCTAACTCAGAAATTTATGAAGATGAAACCACCAACTTTCTCGGGTGGTATTGAACCGTTAAAAGCAGAGACATGGTTACTTGAAATGGAGAAGTTGTTTGAAGTTTTTCCCTGTACCGAGACTCAAAAGGTTTTACTAGCCACCTATACTCTCAAAGACGAAGCTCAAAAATTGTGGTTACTAATTCATAATACTAATGGAAACATGACATGGGCTCGATTCAATGAAATCTTTTATGATAAGTACTTCCCTTAGTGTTTTTGGGACCGAAAAATGTCTGAATTCCAAGAGCTTTAGCAAGGCGGAATGTTCGTAGCTGAGTACAAAGCTAAGTGCTCAAGCAAGGCGAAATGTCCGTAGCTGAGTACAGGACTGAAAAATAATTGTAGTATATATGGTAACTTAAAACTTAATTACAAAAACATGGTTAAAATTATATTTTTGCCCTTCTTGTACCATATTTCTCCTTTATATCTTATTCTTTCTCTATTTCATACAATCTCCATCCATTAGTGACCTTTGCCTCACCATTCTTAGTTGCCAACGACCCCACTGCACTGCATTCTTATCTTTTCTTACCTTCCTGAATCCCCAGCCCCTTCCTGAATCGTCATCAGCCCATTTCTCTCTCTATTACTCCAAATATCATGATCATAGATAGAGAAATCACGATGATAGAGAAATAGAGAGATAAAACAAATTTAGAGCATCCGCATAAACCTCTCTACAATGGCTTTAAAGCTATTGTAGAGAGCGAAAGCTGCAAATATCAGCTTCATCAGCCTCTCTATAGCCTTCATTCATTTCGTGAATGCTACAGTGCCTCAACTGATTTGTTGAGGCATTGTTCATACGGCAATATGTTTTTTTATTATATTTTATGGAGCAAAATTGGGCAAAAAAGCCATGGGTGGTCGTCCACCCGGATGTCCCGTGAATGCCCTGTAATAAAGAAGGAAAGTGCCCAAAATTGGCCTGACCAGTCGACTGCCCAATCGACCTCCTTATGTGATTGTGTTGTTGTTGTTTGCTTGTTGCTTGTTGCTCTTCTGGGATTAAGGGGGTTGAGCAGTGAGTACTCTAACCATGAAGTCATGGGAGCAGTAGTAGAAGCATATTTACATACAGACATATATATGCATAGATTTTATAGTGTTTGTTGAGAATATGGGGTTTTGAGCCTTGGATAAAAGCTTTGCATGTTTTGTTGATTTTACAGTGTTTTATAGTTATGTCTTTGCCTTTTATGTTGTTTTTTTATCTGGGTCTGCATTGCTTTAAAGGGTTTCCATTTCAGGGATGAGTTTTATTTATTTATTTTTGTGAAATTCTACCTGTGGAAAACAGTTCTCTATTGATCTCCAAGTGTTTTTATTTTTATTTTTTTGTTTTTTTGTTTTTTGTTTTTGTTTTGTTTTGTTTTGTTTGGGGAGGGGGGGGTCTAAAACTCAATATGATGTTAAGAATAGTTTGTGGGTTTATGCTCAATTTGATTATTAGTAATTTATAGTTGATGGGTTTTTATTTTTATACAGGGATATTTCTATTTATTCTTTCTTTCTTCTTCTTCTTCTCCTTCTTCTTCTTTTTTAAATAGAGAATTTTCCACCTCCCGAAAACTGTTTTTTTGCCGATCCTCAACTGTTTTTGTATTCTTTATTGGTTTTTATTTTTTAGATTAAAAAAAAAACCTTAATATGTAGTTAAGGATGGTTTGTGGGTTAATTATTTTTATTTTATTTATTTATTTTTGTTTCTTTTCTCTTCTCTTGTCATAGAGGAATATCCCTACTGATTCAGCTGGCACTCTCGTTTGATTGTTCTATTATAAAGCCATGGAAGCAACATTCAGCAGTGATAAGAATAAAAATTTGTTGAAATAAGAATAAGAATAAGCATTCAGCAGTGAAAGAATAAAAAATAATATTTTAATGAAATAGAATTTTAAAATAAAGAGTTTGATGGAGTGTGTACATAAAAAAGAAGTTAGCTAAAATACAAAAGTAAATTTTAGGTTATAATTTGATTGAAAATTTGCTGAGTCTAATGCGAATACTCTTAGAATTCCAAAATGGGAAGGAGATAGTTCCAACTATGGTAATGGAGAAATGAATGAGAGGAGGAATTTAATATAGAGGGTTCTTTAGGTGTCAAGACAATAATGAGAATGAATGGAGTGTGTCAAGGGCAAGAATGTAATTTCACTATATTTTTAAAACTAATTTTTAATCTTCATATTACAATTATTTTTTATTTTCTCATACTTCTACAATTATTTATAAGCTTATATTTTTGTTCGATTTTCCCTTTCCAACTTCAAGAATATCAAAAATAATTTAAAAACCTATCTAACATTTCTCTTTTTTTTTTTTCTTTCTTTTTTTGATAAATTACTAATAGGTCTTACTTTTAGAATTTATTACCTGTTAAATTCTAGTGATAAATTTATCAGTCTCTCTTAATTTTTATGAATAAATTTACAGTGATAAATTTATCAATTAGAACTTGTAGGTAAATAAGTCTAGTTAATAGTATTGATTAGTAAATGCCTCTTTTCTTGATTGTGAAAAAATAAGAGTAAATTACAAATACACCTCTTGAGGTTTGATTAAAATATAAATTAGAGAGACTTATTTATAAGTCTTTTTTCAGACGCTTATGGTAGGCTAAGTCCTGTGTAATTCCTTATAGAGTCTCAAGTTCTATTTAGATAAGAATGTATTCCACAAGATCCTACATAAACGTAACGTGACATGACGCTTACATAAACGTAACGTAACGTGACACCTACATAAACGTAACGTAACGTGTCACGTTACGTTTCGCAAACTTAAAAAGTTTTTATTTTTTTAAATTGAATGTGAAAATGGTGCTGGTAACGTTACGTTTCGCAAACTTAATGAGTTTTTATTTTTTTAAATTGAATGTGTAAATGTTGCTGGTTTATGTTGATGTCACGTTACGTTTCATATAAATATGATCTATGACAACATTCAATTTAGATGTCACGTTACGTTTACGTAGGTGTCACGTTACGTTACGTTTATGTAGATATGATCTATGGCAACATTCAATTTCCTATATAGGAAATTGAATGTTGCCATAGATCATAGGTGTCACGTTACGTTTTGTAGGTGTCATGTTACGTTACATTTATGTAGATATGATCTATGGTAACATACAATTTTCTATATAGGAAATTGCATATTACTATAGATCATAGGTGTTACGTTACGTTTATATAGGTGTCACGTTACGTATAAGTGTCACGTTACGTTACGTTTATATAGATATGATCTATGGTAAAATTCAATTTTCTTTATATGGTTTTACTATTATATATGATATTAACAACTAATATTGAAGGTAAATGTGTCAACAAACTTCCCACAGGATTTATGAGAACATAATTTTTTTAGTAGGAGGACCATATGTAGCATAAGTCTCCCTAATATGACTTATAAATAATTTTCCCTATAAATTATCTCATGTGATTTAAAAAATTACAAATCTTCTTTATCATAATTTTTTATTTAATAGAATTAATAGAAAAAAAAAATCCATAACTACTCTCTTATATAATAATAAAATTACTTAAATTATTAATAGTTGAAATAAATTTTTAATATCATTAAAATTATTAATTAACTTAATTATTTATTAATAAAAAAACTAATTGTTATGAAAATAGAAATATCAAGAGACAAGATGAAATTTACATAATCATAAGAGGTAATTTATTTTTTAAATAAATTTAAAGTTTGTTTTTATAACTTCCCAGAAAAAGGAAAAGAAACTGTTACAGAGACTATTCAATAGTATTGTGGTTGACTAGTCTTGAAAAAAACACAAGAAGATAAAAGTATATGCATTGAATGGCTGTGATTTGTTGACCACGTGACCCCAACCTAGGAGGAAGGACTTCTCTGATGATCAAAATTAACAAGTGGGACCCACACAGTGAGAGATTAATAAAGCGTTCTCATGGCGTGAAGAAGGTGTGAGTGTGAGACGTTTTTAGATTTCAAGAGAGAGAGAAACAAACCTTTCGTTCGGTTAAAAAAAATTTATTTGAAATGAATTTTTAGGCCAAGTTTAGTAATTTTAAAATAATTTTTTTATTATATTATTTTTTTAATTTTTTGTATATTTTTTTTTATAAAAAGTCAAAAAGTTACTAAAATAACATATTCTCAAATGAGATTTAATTTGGATAAATTTTTTTTGGTAATTATAGAAAGAGTCTTGTCAATTTTAAAGCATAAATCTTTTATTTTTTTGATAAATTACAAATATACTATTTGAGAAAAAAAAAAAAAAAAAAAAAGAGAGAGAAAGAGAAAGTGAGAGAGAAAGAGAAGAGAGAGACTCGCACACAATTCGCCAATTCTCAATACATATACATATATATATGTACTATCTTCAACACCACATGGAAGAAGAGGCAACCCCTGCCCCCTCCACCGTAACGCCCTCCCTCAAATAGGTCTTCTTTCTCTCTCTGTAGCCGCCCATTGTTGCTCCTTCAGCTTCTCTCTCTAGAATTTGAAGTGGGTTGTTGTGGATCTTTTAGGTGGGTGTTGGGTTTCAAATTACCTGATCTGGGTAGGGTTTGTGGAGAAGCTTGAGAGAATAGATGATGGAGGAGAGTATTTTGTGTCAGTGGAGCGTGATTCGATCCATTCTCGCCATTCTTCAATGGTGGGGCTTCAACGTTACCGTAATCATCATGAACAAATGGATCTTTCAGGTCTTCCCAGCTCCATCTCTCCCTATATTTCTTCCATTTTGTTTTTTTATCTTCGATCTTCATGTTTGCTAATTGTTTGTTGCTGATTTCGGATTTTTTTTTTTTGTTGTGTTTTTGTTTCTACGTGTAAAAAGACGAGAATTTTGATTGTGCTTGTGATGGATCACGAGTGATGTGTCAGAAAATGGTCATTTTTGTGTTTTTCCTCTTTTCCTGCTTTACTGGAATTCTAATGCCCATGTGGGTAGTGATTGAATTCAATAAATTTACATCTTTTTGAACTGTAGTGTAGTGCACATCCAATGATGGGATCTTATACGAAAGAAATGCCAATTAGTCTTTCTAGGGAAACAAACACACATATTGAGCTGGCTGGCTCATGATGTGTCTGTATCACTTTCCTTTTTCAACATAATTTCTAATTGAGAACCATAGCCCCTTTCGAATCTGCTCGTGGATGTTTTGGTGGAAAGATTGAGAGTCGACCCATTCGCAGTTGTTTTTGTTTTAACAGATCGTAAGATTTTGTACTGGACATATGCCTGCTAACCTTTGTCGAGAGATGCTCAAGTTAAGTTCCATGAGTTATACTAAAATCAATGTGGCTGTAAGTGTCGTGACAAATAGAGAATCAGTAGCATGTGAGAGAGAGAGAGAGGGAGGGAGAGAGCAGTTCCTTGTGAAAGGTGTGATGACATGGTAAAGGACTGAGGAGGTCTAGTTTTGATGAATTGAAAGGGAGGTTAGTTGAATTCAATATGTTTTGGGGTCCAATATTTCATTTTATTTTATGTCCCTTTTGTTGTTCAACCCAAAATTTTAACAGGCTTTACCAAGACTTGCCTCGAGATTAAACTAAGGCAGAATGCATCAAAACTTTGATTTTTAGGTTATACGCCACAAAGGTTAGCGCATAAGCATACGAGGGGAATGCTCCTTAAGTGCGCCTTGTACCCTTTTTATGCGTAAATATATGAGTACGAGCCATGTGCCTTAATTTTAGTTTGTGGTAATGTACAAGAAGTAGTTTTGATTGATGCTAGATGGGGTGAAGTTACATATATTTCAAAGTTTCAAACAAATTCTTTCTGGCAACAATTTGCTGTGCCTGTTAACTATGGCAACAATTTAGCTCTGCAAGACTGTACTTGTTATTTTAATTTATAATTGTATATTTTGGAGATATGGAGCATTGGAATTGGATTCTCTTTGTAATGTATAATTGTGTGATATTTGCTACAACTTATGGTGGCTAAAACTCTCTCTCTCTCCCCCTCTTTTCCACAGAAACTGGATTTCAAGTTTCCTTTGTCAGTATCATGTATACACTTCATATGTTCAGCTATTGGTGCCTACCTGGTAATCAAGGTGCTAAAGCTTAAGCCACTCATAACGGTTGAACCTGAAGATCGATGGAGGAGGATCTTTCCCATGTCTTTTGTTTTTTGTATTAACATAGTATTGGGGAATGTAAGCTTGCGTTACATTCCTGTTTCTTTTATGCAAACCATAAAGTCGTTTACCCCTGCAACAACAGGTTAAGTTCAGATAAATCACTTAAATATTTTCTTTCTTCATATGTTATTGTGTTGTAACTATGCCTGATTTGAATGCATGTGAAACAGTTATTTTGCAGTGGCTAGTTTGGAGGAAACACTTTGATTCGCGAATATGGGCTTCACTGGTGCCCATTGTAGGAGGAATTCTTCTGACTTCTATTACTGAGCTTAGCTTCAATATGTTTGGATTTTGTGCTGCCTTATTCGGTTGTCTTGCTACTTCTACGAAGACTATCCTTGCTGAGTCTCTGCTGCATGGCTACAAGTTTGACAGGTACTTTCTTCTCTCTCTCTCTCTCTCAATAAATAAGTGTTAAATGAACGCATAAAATAAATAAAGGGAAAGTGATTCTCCTGATTATTAAAGATTTTCAACTTGACATTGAAGGGCATAATATTTGTGGAAGCTTATGATCAGCTGAGCTGCTTTGTTTTCTCTACTTGTTGCAAGAAAAAAAATGACATTGATTTCTAGGTTTTTGGTCCTACGATATGCTTAAATTGGTTATTGAATGCTCTAGCCTAATACCGTGTTTGGTTGGGGGGATCTGGGAAGGGATTTGAAAAGGGAAAAGAAAAAAGTAAGTAAAATGTGAATAAAATATATTTACATTTTACTTTGTTTCACAAATCTTTTGCCTTTCCCTTTCTAAATCCCTCTCCAAATCCCTTAACTAAACATAGGCTAAGTGTCATTGGTACTCTTCTTATTATTTTTCCCCCTAAAATTGAATGGTATTTAGAAGTAGCAATCATTCATCTTATATGGGAATATTTTGCGTGACCAAGGTGCCTTTGTTTGTGATTTATTCAATCAACAAGTTGAGTGGGTGGTTTGATTATAAAAATTTGTATCTAGGCTTTTTTGACAAAGTAAAGTATGACTAGAGTGAGATTAGAGTGTTGGTCTTAGTAAAAGCTATTCCAAGAGGGTAGGATTTGTGTGAAATTTTTTATATGGGAATATCAATAGTTAGAGTGATGGAATTGGTAGATAAAATGACTTGGAGTAGTCGAAAGAAACTTTAAGTGGTCAAGAGGACATTATGGAGAAGGATAACTTGAATTTTTTCAGTAACTTTATTATGGATATTAGTTTGTTTGAATTGACCTAGTGAAATGAAAGAATGAAAGAGAAGTCTGAAGTGAGTTCTTTCCATTGCAAGTAATGTGCAGAATCTATTGTGGGAAAGTGCATGGTGGAGCAATATTGGAGTTACTTGACTTATAATGTGGTGAAAGAATAGAAAGATTGGGGTGGAGGGAGGAAGCACACATGCTAGTGGTCTATAATTTTAGAATTTATACATGCATATCATTTCATACTATAGTTGGTTTTTCGTGTTCCTTAGAGGGGCTTAGTCTCCTTGGGTACGATAGCCCTACAGTTCAGACTCCTGTGGTTTTGAATCTGGTTTCACAAGGACAATGTGAAACAGAAAAATAAATGAGAGTCCAAATCTAACAAATCTTTAGAAAATCCACTTATCATCAGAGATGTCAAAAATGGACTGCATTGCCAGATTTCAGAGTCGCCACCTAAATATTTTTGAAAAATTTAAAAAACCCGTGGCTCGTGCTAAAGGCCACTTGTCCGTCATAACCAAAGTGTTTTGGCTTGGGAACTTAGGTATGAGAAAGGAAGGTCATTAATTGAGTACTCCACTCACTTGATCAAAGACGGCTTCTACTACTCATGATGTGATTTTTATGTACATTATATGCTCTTGTTCTAATTGTTAATGCTAACTTTACTATGTGAGGCACACACAAATATAGACTACGTCACCCACTTTGGACTGTTTTGATTTTATGTTTGTTTGAAAAGAGTTTTGAATACGTGCTACTTAAAAAGCAAGCTCGTATGTACATTTATCAAAGTCGTACCAACTTAAACGAAATAGCCTTCATTCACAGGCATTCAAAGAGGTATTTCAAATAAGCACGTAGCCTCATGATAGTATGCTTGATATGGCAACACAAACACACATATAATAGGCTAAATCAAAAAATGCTTACCTAGTACTTAACTGAGGCAAGCCAAAGAAAAAGAAAATAGTTAGAAAAATGCATGCTCCTAATATACAAAGTGACTAATGCAACACATATGAAAATACAACTACTAATGCGGTAACGCACGTATTCAAGTAAGTAGGGAATGACAATGGTATTCGAGAATGATGAACCGAACTTAATGCTTGCAAGAAATGGATGCAAAACATGGTAATGGTATGAAACAAAAATATGATACAATATGCAACCACGGTAAGCATATAAATAAAAGGGAGAAAGAAATGGGGGTTGGAAGATATACAAATATTACAAGTTTGCCCTCGCATAATAAGGTCCGAATGAATGTCCTACTTAACTATTTATTACAATACATTTGAATGAACTAAACTAATTAATTAACTATTACAAATTCGAATGAAAGCAAAGCAACTAATTAATTACATATATGAATATTCAAGCTCCTAATCTATTGGATTCGAACGAGAGGCGAGGAACCACATGCGCACTACCGATAACACCCTCTGGAAACCTCTCTGTTTGCTGCCAGAACCTACTCTATTCACAGTCAGAAAATTGTTCTGTTTTGACCTCAAGATCTGCTCTATTCTATTGTAAAAATGTCACTGCCTGTACAAAAATTGGTGGCCGGCCAGCCTAAGAGAGTGGTCAGCCGTACAGAATGATGGCCGGCTAGTCATTGCTTCTGAAGAACACTCAGCTAAAATAGAGCAAGACAAAGTGTTTTCTGGAAATGTTTATCCTTTCTGTCCTTCCTTATCATGAAGATGATTAAGGGAGTAGACTCGGTTCTCAAATCATCAATCATCGCAAATTTGTTGCGTGATGATCTTAGAAACGATAGGACAAGAGCTCAATAAATGAAACAAAAGATAGACAATACCCCCTCCCTATCATGGAGTTACCTTAAGGGAAGGAGTGGACTTGCTTATGAATCATTGAACATCGCTGAAGTAGTATGTGATGACTCAAGACACAATAGGTTCAGTATAATGTCTGACCGAACCTAACCAAATTTTATTATCTTTTTACCCCTTTTTACTCCAATTTTATTAGCCTTTTTACTTTACCTTTTCATTTTCTTATCTTTTCTTCTTTTTTGTCCAAAGGTGATGATTACGTCTAGTAATTCCAAAGCAATAAAGAATAGCAAGCATGACTTGATCCGAGAAATGAGCTTTTAATCCCTTTTCTACGGGGGAAGAATCAAACCCATTTATAAGTGATAATGAATTCGAAGTCAAACTCGAAATGAGTGATAATGACTCCAAATCCAAACTCGATAATGAGCTATAATGACTCTTTTTTTTATGATTTCCAAGGGTCTAATTAGAAAATTAGACCCTTAGAAATAAATGTACCGGCGATAAAGGGAGGTATCAAACAAGAGATTGTGCTTAGCATAAGCGAGATGTAATGCCCTAGTAATGAACCTCCGAAGAAATTAAACCATTTAACATGAAAGGTCTCTTTCTTATGCCTTGAGTGGCAATCTTTTGTTTGATACAACTCTTAATCAAAAGAAATAAGGAAATGAGGGAGATTGCTGAGTGCTAATGAAAAGGTGAATGGTTACAATGGTGTGGATATGTACATGAAAGTTATAAAAAATGAAAGAAAAGACTATCAACTCAAATATATTGAAAGCTATGGTCTATACACCAAATCCATGAGGACTTACAACAACACAAGTATAATATTCAAAGCATAATTTAACACATTAAAAAGCATTGAAACAACACAAAAGCAGTGCTGAAAAACAAGTTTTAGAGGTGGAAAAAGTGAGCAAAAATGGAATAAAACGAAGGGGTTTCAACCAACCAACAAGCCTAAAGAAGGGTGGTTAACCCCTCTTTTTTTTTTTGTGACTTTAAATCACATATTATAGTCCTTAAAACACTCTGAAAATAGCAAGTAAACACAAGGAAAAGAGGGAGAGAAAAGATGGTGAAAGAGCTCAAAGATTACCCCTTGAAAGATAGGAAGAGCTTCCTAGTTCAAAAACCACAAGTTGAGCACTCTTAAGGAGCTAAAATTATCTTCAAGAACCTCAACAAAAGCGTCAAGTCTAAGCTGAGAAGGTGTATGTATAGTGTATGTATGTTGCAAGAGAAGAGGGAAGTGTGTTGGACAAGTTATTGATAAATTTAGAGAATACAAAGATTAGGGTATGATTAGAATATCATCCCCTATTTATATTAATGAAGATTAATAATTACAAGGAAGCCCAAAGGCATAAAATAATTACAAAATAATAACCCAAATAATCATATATTATTCTAACACTCTCCCTCAAGCTGGTGCGAAGATATCTCTCACGTCCAGCTTGCCTAAGATGTCATGAAATGGTTTACTCCTAACTCCCTTGGTAAAGATGTCAGCAAGTTGTTCACCAGACTGCACAAAGAAAGTACATATTGTGCCACTAGTGAGTTTCTCCTCAATGAAGTGGTGATCAACCTCAATATGTTCTGTCCTGTTATGTTGAACCGGATTGTGAGCGATGTTGATAGCGGCCTTATTATCACAGTATAACCGCATAGAGTCCGTCTGATCAATACCTAGATCACTCAATAATAACTTGATCCATAAGAGCTCACAAACCCCTTGTGCCAAAATTCTAAACTCAGCTTCTGCATTTGACCTGGTAATCACATTCTGTTTCTTACTCATCCAAGAAACTAGGTTGCCTCCAACAAAAGTGTAATATCCTGAAGTCGATCTCCTATTAGTCACTAATCCGGCTTAGTCAGCATCTGTATAAGCTTCCATACGAAGATGATCATACCTTGAAAGATAAAGACCCTTACCAAAAGCGGACTTCAAGTACCTCAAAATTCTCATGATAGCCTCGAAGTGAATTTGATGAGGAGCATGCATAAACTGGCTAACCACACTGACAGCAACATCAATAGCAATATCAAGACGAGAGTGGGATAGGTAAATGAGTTTACTCACTAATCGCTGATAGCTCCCCCTGTCAATAGTTGCTGCTCCTTCATCAACCCCCAGTCTCTGATTAGGTTCTAGTGGAGTGTCTCACAAGCCTTGCAGCGAAGCATTCCAGTTTCCTTCAACAGATCAAGCACATACTTTCTTTGTGAGATAAATATCCCATCCTTGGAGCGAGCAACTTCAATTCCCAAAAAATATTTCAAGCTTCCTAAGTCTTTGATTTCAAACTAACTGGCTAAATATTTATTCAACAAAGAAATTTTCTCACTATCATCACCTGTAAGAACT